TTGGAAGATGAAGAAGAGGAAGAAGAAGTTGAAGTTGATGTTGAAGAAGAAATGGAAGAGGATTTTGAGGACTACAAGTCAGATGACAATGAAGATGAAGTTGAACTTCCAAGTGAAGATGAAGATGATTAGAGGATGAGGATGCTGATTAAGACATTGAATCTTGAAGAATGGCTGAACTGAAACCTTAGACTCTTTTTTATATAGAAATTTGTCTCTGACTCATTTTTTGGGTAGAAAACTGTCTATGACTCTTAATATATAGCTTGTTTTTTGAAATATTTTTCAAATCTGATTCCTTACTTGCTTATTACAATAAATGATTAATTTTTATATTGATTTTGTTATGTGTGAGTGTAACGGTGTGAGCCATGGAGAGGATACTGATACCAAGAGGTAAGTGTCTTTTAAGTGTTAACTTCATTAACGCCGATTATCTAATGTTGTCTAGGTTGTGCACTTGTGCTCATGTGTCATATTCTTTAATTCTTTTATATTTATATTTTATATTTTTATATTGAATCATTGAATTTGAATGTGTTATATTGTTCTGTTTTTTTTTAGCCTAGTTTTAATGCTGATTTCTTAATTCTGTACTTATTGCATATTTTCCTGATTAACCAATTGAATCACTGCTGATTGCATATTCTTTATTCTTTTATATTTAATGCTGATTGCATTTGCATATTCTATAATTATTTTATATTTAATCATGCTGATTTCTTAATTTTTATATTGAGCCATGGTTGATTTCATAATTTATCAGTTTATGAGTTTATCTCTAATTTTTTTTCTGTAGATTCAAGATAGATCATTGATGATTGCATATTTGCATATTTTCCTGATTCATTAACTTCAGAATTCAGATTGCTGATAAGCTGATTACATTACCTCTAATGAGTAATGTCTAATAATCTAAGTATCTAACTCTAACCAATTGAGATAATAATTAAGTAATTAACTTTGTTTTTTGATATTTTCCTGATTTCTTAGAATTTCTACATGTTTTTTTCTTATGTTTTCTATTTTTCTCTATTATTTTAGTTTTTTTTTATTTTGTGCGCCTTTTTTAAAAAGGCGTGCACCTCGCCTTGCGCCTCAGGCACATTTGGAACCTATCGCTTTTTGTGCGCCTTTCTCTTTTAAAACACTGCCACGACCACCTGCTCGTCGGCCTGCCTCGACCTCTTCTACTGCCGAGGAGTGCATTCTGCAGACCTTGGCTGCACGTCATCAACTTAGGGCTGAGACCCCTGGGTATGGCCGGACCACACTCTCTCTGCTGCGGCCCTCATGCGACAGGACATCTCCTCGCAACTAGCTATTTCAGCACCTGCGCAAGATAAACAGCAAAATCAATACCAAGTCCAAAAGCTCGGAAAAGAGAAGAAATTGGTAAAGGCAGCATGAGACACAGACCGGTCGTCTCACTCATCAGCCTGGCACTAATCAACTTCAAAAAGGACGTGTACTCCATCACGTCGACCTCCTCAATCATCTCTATCGACGCCCTTTCCTCCTCGGTCAGCTGAGTCAGGGTGGGCACCTTCACTTTTGTCCTCGGCTTCTGGAGCTCAGCCGATAGAGGCAAGCCTCCAGGATAGCGCACGAAGAACTTCCCCTTCCAGCGCTTCATTGAGGACGGGGCCCCCACCAACACTTTGATGCGTTGCCAAGCCGAGAAGTAGTAATACCCCTGCTAGTGATGCTTCAATTGGATGAAATACGCAAACATCGGCAGGGTAATATCAAGACTGTGGATTTAGCAATAGCAAAACAGGCCGACAAAAAACCTAAAAGAGTTTGGCATTAGCTGGAAAGGCAACATCCGGTACCACCTGAATAGCTCAATCCCCTCGCATAGGGGAAATCTTAGCTCGGCCACCAGGCTGTGCTCATGCACAGAGCTCGCCTAGCTGAGTTAAAGTGGGTTTCTCACCAACCCTCGGGCACCTAAGTTCATACTCTTTGGGAATGCAGTACAGGGCTCTTATCCGGGCCAAGTCCCCAGGCGTCAGACAACACGGAGTCGTCCCGAATTGGCTACCAGCCCACGGAGGAAGGGCGACCTCCTCCTCAGTTGACGGCTCAGCCTCGGCCTCCCACTCAGCGACCCGCTCAGGATCAAAGGCCTCAAAGTCCTCGGCCCCAGCCCCCCGACCGTCGGCCTCACGAGTATTGAGCGCAGCAGCCTCAACGAGAGACCTCGGATCGGACTCACTATGGGAAGAAAAGGAAGAGGAAGAACGGGAAGAGTCCGCGGACAAGGAAGACATCTTACCGGATTCTACGAAAGCCTAGACCGCGGAACTAAAGCAACACCGAGCCGAATACTACCTCTCGCAGAGCTCTACACGCACTTCCTTTGCAAATGACAAAGTGGAAATCCTCTTCACCCCCTTTTATAGGGCCCCAAGCAATCCATATCAACGGCGTAGATCAAACGCCGCCCCCTGACAACTCGGGAAGACGAAACGACACCACTGCCCTTCGCACTTTTTGTAGCCTCGGGGAGGCAAAACGACACTCCCCCCAATCTGCCTCGGAAACGGTACGAGCATCGAGCCGGCCGATTCGCCCAAAAAACCGGTTCAACCTTGAGTACCTCCGCAAAAGATAGCATGCTCAACCAAACTTCTAATTCAAATTCCTCAGTCGAGAACCAAAGAGATCTTCCACGCCACACCGCAGCCGAGCACTACACTCCTCGACTTCGGAACTAGGGGAGTGGTGTTTAGGTTATGGTTGAGCTAGCCCCAGGTACCACATGTCACCTCCGTGGCTGCCTTATCACTTTGGCCATGTCGGAACCACATCATCAGATAAGCGCGACCAAGATAGGAGAGCGTCGTACGGATAAGGAATACAGCTCCACCTGGGATTAGGTCTTATCCTGAAGACCTCGGTGGACAACGTCATCCCGACAACCCCGGAAGCCTCATCCGAATCGGACACGGATCTTCAGCTATAAGTAGGTAACCCCCGCTCAAGGTAAGGGACTTTTGACTCTCTAGCATCCGCACTGTTACTTTGCTCGAACCAACATTGCTCTCTCAACCGCTCATCCCGATCACCCATTCTCCTCACTGACTTGAGCATTGGAGTGCCTACCCAGGGAATAACTCCTCGGGCCTCTGACTCTATTCTTGTTTCAGATCTTGTTGCACGGCTTCATCCTTCCACCTCAGCTTCATCTAGTTGGCAGGATTATCTGACTGCAACCTCAGTTCAAAACACCTTGGATCAAGCAGCATCAGAACCCTTCATTTCATCCAGCATATTACAACTTGACAGTAACCTTCAGCTATCACTCCATTCCATCCAGAGGAGAAAGCCAGTATTATCCCTTGAAAAAGAACAAGCAATTGTTCTCCTAGTTAAATCCTACATCTTATGGGTCCAGAGTAACTCAGCAATAAAGTTCCTTCATGATCTTTTAACACACTTTCAACTTTGAAGGATCCCAAGTTTCCTAAAGAGCAACCACCAAAGTTGAATTTTATCAACCCTTTTCTGGAGGGCTCTCAAACCTCAAGATAGAATCCCATGGTGTTGACAGGACTATAAGTGTGTAATCGAGGGTAGAACAGTTCATTATTGTTTCTTTATGAAACTAGCAGACATGGAGAAATTTATAATTTTCCTTCTTATTTCCAGTAGTTAATATAAAAGATAGCAAAGCAACAGGTGCACCCCACAATTGCTGTTTTCTTCTTCATTCAGTTTCTCTTCTTTTCTTCTTCTCACTCTCACTACCTTCTATAGTTTCTTCTCATCATGAGAACAACCTTGCTTCCTTTAAAATGGAAATCCAGCAGGCTACTCTAACAGCAATAAGATGAACATAATGCCCATGTCTTGACTTTTTGTTATAAAAGATTATTGTATTTCTTTCATTCTACATACACCAACCAAAGAACATTTGCCTCGGTACAACTCCACATAATCTTTCTTAGTAGAAAAAAGGAGATAAATCTTCCATATATGAAGGAGCAGACCAAGAATCACCAAAAAAGAAGGAATGGTGGTTGCTTATAGCCAAGAGGAACAAATGTTTGCATTCTCACCATTCTTGAATCTTGAGGCATGAGACACACATGAGGACTGAGGGAAGAGGCACCAAATTTTCCTTTCCTGTTGGAGTATTTCACCAGTATTTATATGATTGAATCATCAAACTGTTTGACCTGGTTACCAGGTGGCAGGTCACCCACTGACCTAGACAGTCAAATTGGTGAATCATCATCTGGAAAGAAAAGTGGGTCAGTCATGGTCCCGGTTTTAAAACATAGCACCTGACAGTAGGTTGTTTCCATATACAAAAATATTGTAGTCTAGGAAAAACAAGCCATAGTGTTCTACCCACCCACCCCTACGGGCCTACCCCCCAGCCAAACATCCTCACAAAACTTGACACTGTCTGGAGTAGAGTCATATTGAATGTGTCTCGTGAACATAATGTACACAGTCTCTATTGTTTTCCATGGGCAATGTAAATTGTAATGTCCAACAAGGTTGTTATTTGTCATTTAAAACACCAATTGGAACTTTCTTTAAAAAGTTGTACCATTATTGGAAAAAAAAAAAAAAAAAAACCTCTAGAATATGGCACTTTTCTGTCAAGTAGAATGTAGCACTTCGCTGTCAAAGAGATGTAACTCTTGGGTAACCAGATAGTACATTAGAATGTGTGGAAGAATATGAAATAATTTTGAAATTAGACTGTATAAGCCAATGTGCAGTGGAAGATGAATGAAATGATTTTAAAATTACACATTATAAGCCAATTTATTAAGCTTACTGTCCAATAACAGATTAAGATGCTAAGAAAATAAGTCATAATAGATTCCCAAGAAAGCATGACATTAAGAAGAAAATGTGATTGTTTTCTATTTTGCGATATTTTGAATTGCATAAATAGTGTTCCATTTAACCATGTTGGCTGTCATAACAATAAGCAGATTTTGATGCTTCACAGTTCACACACAAATTTAGCTTACCAGATTCTTGCAGGCGGCCAACAACATCGCTGAAGCATTGCATATGATCGATCGAGTTGTTGGTGGCCTGCAAGAAGTTCAATAATATATCAGGTATACAATTAATAAAAGTAAAATATGAAAACAATACAGATTACAGAGTGCTTCCTATATGCATTTCAGATTCTCATCCTTCCGTTTTCTGTTTTGAACAGGCTATGTAATTTTGTCAAATGGGTCAACCACTGGTAACTTCCCAAAAGTTAGCTTATCAGTTTCATGAATGTTACTTTGGCCAAAATGCTAAAAGAACCACCTAGTTAGTGTAAGCTACCTAGCAGCTAAGAGGCAACCTCTTATGCAATAGTAATGAGGAACTTGCATCCTATCTTCTTAGCTGGAGCCTTGGAGGTTCCTTTTTAACAGACTTGTATTATATGCTTTCAGTGACAGTGACTCGGTATTGTCCTAAAGAACTCTGTCCGCTTTTTGGTGAGAAGATCCAGGTTGAGGTAACATGTAACGTCCAAGCCTTCCAATATATTGGGATTATTCTACCATCTTCATTCTGTTCATTTCCCCAATTTGATTTCAGTAACTATAAGAAACAACGTTTCACATGAAAATACGAATTGCCGGAACATTGTATTTCTTACAGAAACAACAGCTAAATGTAAACTATTTGATTTAACTATAAGGTCGTCGAGCACATGTAACCTAATGCTTAAACTCCCAGTTAAAATATTTTTCATTCATGGAAAGAACAAAATTGCGAAATTGTTATTTTGACCTAAAAAGAGGTTCAACTGTAGTAAGAGAGAATTGCAACCTAAAATACAAAAAAAAAAATGCATAAACTGAACAATTGAGAAGCTCTGGATCAACGAAACTAGGAAACATACCTGAGATAGAGCCAAGCGGAGGGAGGAGAAGAGGGACGTGAAGCTCTCGGCAATGGCCAGTGAATCCTTTTCAACGATTTCGATAGCTTTAAGGAGCTCATTCTGATCGAGCAAGGGTTTCGGTTCAAAACGACTTTCATGGGAATCCGGATTGTTTTGTATAGGCATAGGTATCGAATCTCGATCGGGGTCTGCAATTGGGTTATCCATCGTCGTCGAAGCAGTGTTTGTGCCTCTTTCCATTTACCGCGGGTTTTCTAATCTTGCTTTTTCTGCTACTTGTGCAATGTCAAGGATTTCGATTTCTGAGCCCTTCGTTTATTTGAATCAGTTGTGAATTGTTTAATTCCTTTACGCTGCGTTTGATAAATGTAAATATGGTTTACATTTTAAATCGTTTTTGCACTCATCTTGTTGTTTGAAACGGGTGTTAAGTGTGGGTTCCATCATTAAATATTCTATCTATCTTATTTTCCAATGCCTTAATTTTGGTTAAAAAATTAATTATCAAAAGAATATAAATTTGTATCTAAAAAATAGGTACAATAATGATATCTTTTCGAAGTACAAAAATGTCAAAAAAATACATTTTGATGTGATAACCATTACTTTTTTACATGTCAAACAAACACTCGGGAACTGAAATACATAAATACCCTGATTTGATGTTTGTATTGCAAACAAATGGAGTCTTAAGCGAAAGAATACAAATACAAATATGTACGGTGCAAACACATACAAAATAATACAAAATTCAAGATTTTGTACTCTACAAATTTCCTTTCTTGACGTTTGGGTGTGTTTGGTGAAGGGTTGAAATGAATTTGGAAAAAAAAATCACATCAAACTAATTTAATTTAATTTATCCATAAAGAAAAAATCCATTATACCCACTAATGCTGCTCAATTTGAGGTAGTTCTTGAACCGATGTCACAATCAGATAATCTTGCCAACTAGGCAAAGCCGAGATGGAAGGACTAAGCCGTGCTCTAAGATCTGAAACCAAGAAGGCAGTCAGAGGCCCAAGGAATTATCCCCAGGTAGATACTCTAACGCTCAAGTCAGTTGAGGAAAGTGGACAGTTGGGCCGAGCAGTTAGAGAACGGTGGTCTATTGATATAAGATAAGAATATATATGTGTCAATGGATCGGATTTGGGTTGAAACCAATCTAATTCAAAATGAATTTGAACAGATTGGACAGTTCAGACATTGAATTGGACCAGTCCAAATTGGTACATTCATTGGATTGGATTGGACCTGGTCCATTTATAATGGCCTCACATTGGACTGGATCGGATTGGACCAAATACAGTCCAATTGACACCCCTACACAGGCTCCAAAAAGAAATAATTAAGAGCACACAAGCTCTAAAGAAGCATTCAGGAGCACGCAGGCTCCAGGTACAATAGATCTTTGAAGAACATGACCAACAACTCCCCACCGGAAGCTACTCCTCGTCACATTGAAGCTCATCGTCAACCTCGTCTGTTGCCGACCTCGCCATCTTCCCCGTCTGGAGTTAAAGGCTCTTGGTCGATTTACACGGCTAGTTCGTCCGATACCGGCCTAATAGATAGGTTACCGAAATCAAAGTTGGGATGGAGGGACTTGAGGCAGCGGCATCGACATAGCTCAAATCCCCTCTTTATAGAAGGAAGGGCACTTTTGCCCTTTTCTTGCTCATACTCTG